ATTGATTTTAGTATTTTTCTGCTTTGTATAAGTGTTAGTATTTTGATAGTGCACTATTTTTTAAGTGGACTTGCAGAGAGCATGTCAATCATATCAGAGGTTAAATAGGCTTTTGTGTTTTTCCCCTATAAAATGACTTCTATGGGGAAAATAAACTCTATGTCTTTAATGCCTAACTAATGAAAGACATTTTTAGAAGTTTATAAGTGGGGACTGAATGCAAAGCATGATACGGACAATACAGGTGATATTTTACCAGGCCCACTGTCCATTCTGTCTAGGTAAGACATTTACCAGGAGAGATCAAAGAACTCATTTATGTCAAATGGAAATGATATTTCTCTGGAATTGGATTGCCTTTTGTATTAGTCAAAATTCTCCAGACAAATAGAACCAATAGGAAATACACATATATATTATCACATATATTATATATATTATTTATATATAATATATATTTATATGTTATGCATTTATTGTTTATATATAATATATATTTATATATCATACAAAGGCCTATTTAACCTCTGATATGATTGAAATGCTCTCTGCAAGTCCACTTAAAAATGGTACAGTATCACAATACTAACACTTACACAAAGCAAATATACTAAAATCCTGTGATAGATATGTGATGTCCTGAGAACCAGGGAACTGCTAGTGTAAGTCCTGGAGTCCAAAGGCCTGAGGAGCAGGAGCTCCAACGTTTGAGGGCAGGAAATGAAGGCCATCCCAACTCAAGAAGACAGGGAGTTTGCCCTTCCGTAGCCTTTACTCCCACTTGGCGCCCCAACGGATTGGCTGATGCCCACCCACACTGGTAAGGGTAGGTCTCTTTTTTTCTGCCCCTTAAATCAAATAACAGTCTTTTCCAGAAACACCTTCACAGACATACCCAGAAATAATGTTTTACCAGCCATCTGGGTATCCCCTAGCCAAGTCAAGTTAAGTTGACATAAAATTTACCATCACAGCTTTCAATCCCTTTCATAAATGGAAGTCTTGTCCTTGAGGTCATGTTTGCTATCATGATTTGGAAGTGAGTACAAAGGCCATATTCATGGATGTTTATGGCATTTAATATGGCATAGAAACCCAACTAAATTTCTAAAAATGCAAATAAGCACAAAATTTGTGTGCTTATGTTTTTAAACTGGGGAATTTAAAGAACTAGTGCAGATCTGCTTTTGGACTAGTTTGAGTAATTCACCAACATTCAGCCTGTTTCCATTATCCCGGCCCACCCACTGGCTCAATCAAATTAAGAATTTTAACACCAGGCATTTAAAAGAGAAGCGGAAAGGGAACAGAGGCTCATTTATTTGTATTCTTCAAAGAGAAAGGCGGGCAGGAATCAGCACCCATTTCTGTATTTTCCTACTTCTCATCCCAGATTCCCACAATCCTTGGCAGGCAAGTGGTCCTCAAGTTGTAGTTAGTGGACCATGTATCTCTTTGAATTTCCTTAGATGCTCAGTAACACTCACATTCCTAGGAGCCACCTCAGACCTCCTGACTTGGAATTTCCGGAGTTGGGTTTCAGCAAATTGTGTGATGAACAGCCCCCTAAATAATCTTTGTGAGCTCTAACATTTGAGAACCAGACATTTTTCCTTCAGATGTATGTGGTTGACAATGAATGTGAGGATAATGGCCCCTTTTGATTCAGGATTCGGTTTTGTTGGACCTCCATTTTTGGATTCTTAACTTCTTTAGGGTAGATTAGTCAGGGTCTATGTAGTACCAGGTTGCTAGGATTACATGATAGAGTGCCACAGACTGGGTGGCTTAACAGAAATTTACTTTCTCGTGGTTCTGGAAACTAGAAACCCAAATCAAGGTGCCAGCAGAGTTAGTTTCTGGTGAGGTCTCTTTTCTCGGCTCTAGATGACCGTCTTCTTTGTCTTCACTTGATTTTTCCTCTATGCTCATGTGCTGTCTGTGTCTTAGTCTCTTCTCTTCTGAGGACACCAGTCATGTTGGGTTAGGCCTGCCCGTAGAATCTCATTTTACCTTATTTTACCGCTTTATAGGACCTATCTCCAAATATAGTCATATTCTAAGATATTGGGACTTAGTAAGTCAGCATATTAATTTTGGGGGAACAATTCAGCCCACCTCAATCTAGATGGATCTCAGTACACCATATGAGCACGTGGGAGATGACCACTGTAGACGTCTTACGGTTTCTTTCCCCACTCCGACTGTCCCCCAGAAGGCAGTGTGCTCCTGCCTGCTCTCTTGGTCTCTCTTCTAAGGCAGCAGGAAGGAGGGAGGGAGGGACAATGGCAACTTGCTTTTCATTGGCTTTGCTCCTCCTAAGCTCCATTTCTTTGAATGTTCATTGAGAGTCGAATTACTATTGGCTCAACTGCTTCAAACGCCCAAGCAGCAGTTATCAAAGGAAATCTGAGAAGCCAAAGCTCTTTTCATAATTTATAGTAAAAACACATTCTTTGCTTTTTTTAACTGGATGACATCTGCACTGACCGCAAGGGCCACGGTGCGGATGAAGGCGGTAGCACCAAGCTGCACCAGTAGTCCTTATAATTTCACCACCGTGCAACTGTATTGCAGGAAATAAAATATCACAGTCACTTAAAAATGCCCTTGATGAAGTAGGAAAAATTCTGAAGTTCACTAAATTGCAACCTTTGAAATTTTAGTATCATCTTTTTAGTATCTTATGTGACAAAATGGGAAGTATTTGTAAAGCACTTCTACTGCATGTAAACATTCAGGAGCTATTTTGAAAAAAGCACTTCTGTGACTGAACTGTCGGCCAAGCTAGCCTCTGTTTTCATGAAGTATCAGTTTAACTTCAAAAGACAAGTGACAGGTGAACTCTGGTTATTCAGACTCACGTAGCTGGCAGACATGCTCGCAAAAATGAGTGGAGTGAGTTTGTCGCTTCAAGAAAAGCAGCTGACAGTCTTTGTTGCCTATGATAAAATTCAAACTTTCAAGTGAAAATTAGAATTTTGGGAAACTTGGGTCTGTTACTGTGAGCTTGCCAGCTTACCAAGAGTTGAAGATTTTTCTGGTGAGGCTGGTGACTAACAAATATGATTGTTTTTCCATTTTATGTGATGAAATATGTCAGTAGTTGGGAAACTTATAACTCACTGAATCACTGTTTTCCAGATAACAGCCAATGCCTGATGCTACAAAACCAAGTGTGGGTAAAAGATCTATTCAAACTGCAAGATAGAATGACAAATTTTTATATAATAGAGTATAAAAAGTTCATTGATATAATTTAGATTCTACATAGTAACTAACCTTTAAGAAACTATCAGTTGTCAACTTTTGGCATATTATCAGAGAAGAATATTCACAATTATCTGAAAAAATTATTACAAATACTCTTCCCTTTTTCAACTACATATCTGAGTGAGGCTGAGTTTTATTCATTTACTTGAACCCAAAACATATCATATCAAAACAGATTAAATGCAGAAGCAGATATGAGGGTCTGTCTTCTATTTAAACTAAACATCAGAGATTTGAAAAACTGTGAAAGAATACCATCTTCTCACTATTTTTTTCTGCTTAGGAATATGCATAAATATGTAAACATTTGTTACTTAATATGTAGTGGGTATATTATTGCTATTTTTAAAATGAATTAATAAATACATTTAAAAAATTCTCATTTCCAGTTGCTGAGTGAATATTAATGGATATAACCCACATAAACAAAAGCTATTTGGGGGCTCCAATAATTTTTAAAAGGGCAAAGGAATCCTGGGATTGAACAGTTTGTGGACTGTAGACTTAGCATTTTTCTAGCTACATTGTAGTAACTGGTTTAGCATTAACTTTGACTCATAGTACACTTAATACCAAAGGTATTCACTGTCTGAATGCTCAACACAGTAAGCTTGATTTTTCTTTTTTCTCATTGGGAGAAAAACCATAATGGTATTCTATACCCAAATATTCTTAACTAATGCTTGCTTTACGTTTCCTAATCCCAAATAAGATTAGATATCATAAAGAAGCTGGAAAAGAAAAAGCCCTCTAGAAGAACTAATGTTTTTGAGAGCTTTGTTTCTGTCTGCTGAAAATGTATTTAAATTAGCAGAGATTAAAATCCGTCCTATTGAAAGGCACTTGGAAATCTTGCCACAAATGTGCCCTTTCCTTCATTCTGCCTCTATTTTCTCTTCTTCTAATTTATAGAGCACTGTTTTTTCTTTCTTCTCCTTCTTTTCTTTCTGCCTTATCTCTTCATTTTATTCATTCCCCTCCTCTCCCTTTGCCCAGTTATAGCTGGAAGTATTTCCTCATGTGTTGTAGTTTCTGCCAGCATCCTCTAAGAAAGATGCTGAATCGGTAAAAATGAGCGAGGCATTGACAAAGTGTAGGTGCATCTTTGCCTTCTCAGCGCCCGGATTTAAACAGTCTTCCATTCAGTATGTAAAATTCAGCCCTGGAGTCTATGCTGTGCTTCTGGTTTAGATTTCTAGGGGCTGTGAAGGAAGGTTAGGGGGAAGGATTTTAACTTAAAACTTATACCTTCTATAAGCCAGAAAGAGAAAGAAAAATACCTTATGAGATCGCTCATATGAGGAATCTAAATCACAAAAACAAAAACAAACAAACAAACAAAAACAAAGCATAAATGCAAAACAGAAATAGACTCATAGACATAGAATACAATCTTGTGGTTGCCAAGGGGGTGGGGGGTGGGAAGGGACAGACTGGGATTTCAAAATGCAGAATAGATAAACAAGATTATACTGTACAGCACAGGGAAATATATACAAGATCTTGTGGTAGCTCACAGCGAAAAAAAATGTGACAATGAATATATGTATGTTCACGTATAACTGAAAAATTGTGCTCTACACTAGAATTTGATAAAACATTATAAAATGACTACTACTCAATAAAAAAAATGTAAAGAAAACATACCTTCTAGAAGAAATGACTTCAGAATAAGTTCTACCATTATATTGTGTTCTTCATAAATTCCTTTCTCATTTTTCCTCTAGTCCAAAAGTCACTCCCGCGTTGGCCTGAAATCAAGCACCAAGCAAAAGGTATGTTTTTTTTTTCCTGCCTCTGCGTTATTCCTTAAAAAATAATTATTTTGGTGACTTGTTTTTGGAAGTCAAGGATACACCCAGAAACGAAGTATTTTTTGATTTTCATTTCCTTTGCCTCCATAATAGCCACACTGAAATTGGAAAGAGATCCTTGAAATGAAATGGAACGAGAGAGATTCTAGAAACCCAGTGACAGAATCTGAGCATTTCCCCATGGCTTACAAGCAATTCTGAAAGCCAAGTCAGAAGCTACTCTCCCAGATTCAGCTCTTTTATTTTCTCAGCCCTTCACAGTGAAGGAATTTGTTCCTATCTCAGTTCATATTTTTACCAAACTCTCAGCATCTGCTGTGGAAAATGACCCTCACCTATGACCTGTGATGAATTGGCTAAATTATGAGCTCCGTGAGTCAGAAAAAATTGGTTTCAATTCCTGATTCTGTCACTCTGCTAGCTATGTGACCTTGGACATATTCGTACAAAGATGATTGTACCTCCTATGTAGTACGTTTTAAGGATAAAATGAGATAATATATGTGAAAGCACTTATATCCCAGTGTCTAGCACAAAATAGGCATTTAATAATTTTTTTAATTCTATAATATTTCATTGAAATTTTATGTATAAAAACAATGGAAAATTTGAAATTTCAAAGTGTTAATCCTTGGACACACACGCTATGTTTAAATTATGTTATTTCCTGATGACATAGAGGGCGGTGAGGTAAAAAGATTTATTAGAATTTGGGAGATGTTTATGCTTAAAATTATGCTTCTAGTGTAGATGTCTGAACTGTTTGGAGTACTTGCCTGACCTCTGAGGATAATGGGTATCTTAACTCAGAATACCTTTCTGATGTCAACTCTTAGAGAAAAAACACTTCATGAATGTAAAGCACCTAAGAGGTGTTTAAGGAGATTTAAAGAGAGCGTCTGTGAAGGCACCAAGCCCAGTGCCTGAGAAGATCACAGCTATTGTTACTAGAGAAACATCACGTTGATCTGGAAGAAGATGGACAGACCTGGGTTCTATGCCAGCTTCAACACTTTGCAGGAAGTCATAGCTGGCATTGAGAGGACAAACCCTGTGCTCCAGATGCAGTTAGGGGCACTTTACAAGGATCAACTTGTTATGTACTCTCCGGTAGGTGTTCTTGTGTCCCTCAGGGTCTGCCAGCAGAGTAATCACACCAGCAATTTGAACGGCGACAATTTGATATGAAGGGCTGCTAATTGGTTGTGAATTTGTTAACTGGGAAATGGAAGGAGTGAAAAGAGAACTCTAAGGTGTGGGTGGGGGTAGCAAGTCCTGGAAGCGGTTACCACCCCCAGGGCTGAGGGAAGGAAGGAAAGAGTTGCGATTACTAAAACTTCGGAGACACTTAGAGGAGGGGCCCCCGCAGAGCTAAAATGCAGGTCTCTGAGGGGGAGGGGGCTGGCCCGCACGCTGTGAAGCTGGTTCTACAAGTCCTGGGAACAGTCGAGCCAGATTCAGTGGCTCTGCAGGGAGGAGAGAAGGGTGGTAGCATTGGGCTGAGGCTCAGAGGAAGCGCGAAGGAAGGAGCAAGTTCATTTTTGCTGCTCCAGCTCCGTAGCACCCTCCCCTCCAGCGCCCCCTACTGGTAGAGCCAACAGGAAGCCTGCTAACTAAGCAGGAGTGTCTTGCAGAGTCCCAGACTTAACATCACAAAGCTGGTTATAAAAACCAAAACAAAACAAAGTAAAGCTGGTAACAGAAGGATAGGTGTGGAGATGAGAAACTGGTCCACTTGTGAGCTCCATTCTGTAGATCAGGAAACTGAGGCACAGATATATTAAGCTGTGTTTACCCAGTGCTAGGGTCTGAATATTTGTTGAACACTAACCCCTAAAGGGGATAGTATTAGTAGGTGGGGCCTTTGGGAGGTGCCTAGGTCATGAGAGTGGAGCTCTCATGTATGGGATCAATGCTTTTATAAAAAAGACCCCTTCCACCATGAAAGGACACGGTGAACAGTCTGCAACCCTCACCTGACTATGCTGGTACCATGATCTGGGGCTTGCAGCCTCCAGAACTGTGAGAAATACATTTCTGTTGTTTATAAGCCACCTAGTCTGTGGTATTTTGTCGTCGCAGCCTGAATGGACTAAGTAAGACACCCATCTAGGAAGAGGCAGGGTCAGAACTTAAACCTAAACAGCCTGACTCCAAGGTTCATGCTGTTAACTTTTAGAACAAGTGACTATAGGCAAACACACTTCTCTAAAGCTTACTTTTAAAATCTGCAAAACAAGGATGATACTCTCTGACTTGTAAGGGTTGTTCTAAGGGTTCCATAAACAATATAAATGATGTGCCTGCTATATTTCCTGGCACATAGTCAGTTCTGAACAATACTAGCTGTTATTAAATATGGCATTTTTCTCTCTTTGAGTATAGAAGAGTACTCATTTGCCTCCGTGAATCTATGTGTAGTTTTGAAAGTATTGCCTTTGCCTTGGGGTGATCTCATCTCCGAGGGGTTGTTTATTTAGTTGATTATCTCTCCAGCTTAGCATAGTTAAGTGTTTCGGTTGGAAGGTGAGCAGCAGAGAGAAGTTCATGCTGGAGCTTGATCAATGGAGGCTTTCTTGACGATGTCCTGAAAAATCAGAATTTATCAGGGGCTGCCTCAGGGCACTGAGTTAGCCTTTCACTTTGGATTTTAAGTGGTGGGGGAAATCATTGAATGTATTCATTTGCTCTTTAATGCAGTAATCATTTATAGGGCACTTAATTGCAGCAGACATCGTACTAGGCATGGGGGGTGATATAAACAGACATATGGACCCTACTCTAGAGACTGATTCTTCCAGCCTAGGGGGGAGTATGATGCAAAAACTCAACTGCTCATTTTCCCTCCCTCCTCCTTATCCTTGACAGGTGTGCATGTGTAAATATTTCCTGTTACACAGATATAATGTCATCATGTGGGTGAAATATCTACTGGGCCCACTACAGAGTCAACTGATATCCAGGGAAGGTTGTATGGGGTGTAGAGGTGTGAGGGGAGGCAGCTGTCTGTCCTAAAGGACAGACTCATTCATTCACTAGAGAAGAGGTCAGATCAGACACAGGGAATGTGTGGGAGGGGCTGGGAGGCAGCAACACTAGGAGGCTCCTGGGTCCCTGGCTGTAGGTTGTAAGACGTTTGTGTGCAGGTGTAGGAAGAGTTAAGGGCTTCAGGGTACGGACTGTGATGCTGTGTGGGCCCTTTTTCTCTAGAGTGTTCCATAGAGTCAGGGAGAAAGCCTGGACCGGGCAGGGCCCTAGAGCCCTGGAAGTAGCTACCTGGTGGGATCAGGAGCCTCTCCTGGTAAATCAGGCTGTTTTTATGCTTTCTCTCTCCTTTGTGTTCATTTTCTTTTTGCTTAAAAGTGCCAAATATCTTGGAATCCTGAAGAGAACTAAGGGAAGGGCTTTATGTATATGTTTTGGTCCGAACTTTAAGGGGAAGCATGGTAGTTGTGGCGTTCAGGGTGCTCATGAGAGAACCCCAAGGTTGTAGTCAGGTACTCAAGGTCATACTAGGTCTTGTTGCTTTTTCTATAAGTTCTGGTGAAAATTGAGGAGGTTAGGTTATATTGAGATATGTTTTGTAGGATGTGGGAATATCAAAACCTGCTCTTGACCCCCTCAGCTCAAGGGAATCAGAGGAAAATAGATACACAGAGGGCAAAGACTGGCAAATGAATATTCTATTACCCCAGTGGAGAATTTCAGTGAGCTGTGTTGAAATAAATAGAAGACACTTTTGTCTCCTTCCTGCAAAACTTTCTACTCCCCAAGTATCTTGTCAAGATTAATAACAATATTAATGGTAAAAATAACATGCCATCAACGTTCTGGTTGCTTTGCAAACATTCAGTAGTAGCACTGTTTGCCTTCGATTTTAATCAAACAGAAAATTGAATTGCCAGAGCCACCAGTTAACAGAGTGTTTTAAATCTTCTTAGTCTCCTGCCCACACATTTCTCTGGTGTTCAATGATCTTGAGTTTACTATATCCTTGCTTCTATCAAAGCCATCTTCTCAGATCTGAAAAAATAAATTCACAATAAGTTACATTTGAATTATATGGCTTAAAGTCTAATCTCTCCCAAGAGTATTTGCATTTTAACAGATGACAGAGCTAATGAAATCGAGTTGAAGGGGTGGAATTTCTGGCATTAGAAAACAGGGAACAATTTTTGGTTGGTAGAAAGATCTTGTCCTCACTCCTAAAATTACATCGTTTACCTGTAAGATTGATTCCCAAGGAGACATTACTGGTTAGATGATCTAGGGTCACAAATGTGTGTAGTTGGTAGGGAGTCAGCGATTTGGTTTGTAGCACTGAGGCTGGCACTTGTCTGTTCAGCCCACGACCATCTCCTTCCATCCCCATTCTCCACCAACCTCCCTGTTACTGAGTATAATGTCCCTCTTTCCCACGGAACTGGAAGCTCTCCTCTAAACACAAATCGTGTTTTGTTAATGTTTGTACCTTTCCTCTACCCCTTTCTTTCTGGCACCAAGTATCTGAGAGCTTCTTACACGCTGATAAGTGTACTGAAAAAAACACCCCATGCCCCTTTTACACCTGAGCAGTCCATGCTGCGGACAGTAAAGGAGCCCAGTGTTAGTCTCGGCTCCCTGGAGTTTTTAGTTTTTCCTGCTAGACTGAAAACGGCTCTCGAACTTTTCCCGTGGTATTATTTTCATTTTCTATTTCTATCCTTATTCTCCATCAGCGGTGTTCTTCTGCCCTTCTGTTTCCCCCATTTAACTCCCGCCACCCCTGCCCCAGGAGCGGACTTTCCCTCTGTCAGAATCCTGCACCACGTTGGTACGTTTGTTAAGACTGGTGAATCTACACTGATGGCCCGTTATCATCCCAAGTCCACAGTTTACGTTATGGTTCACTCTTAGTGTTGTTCATTCTGTGGGTTTTGATAAATGGATGACACGTATCCACCATTTTCATTTCACTGCCC